CCAGCAAACAATAGTTGCAAAGATGGGCGAATAACGCTGGGTGGCCTTAGGAATTCTAGGAGGTGCGTTAACTTCTGGCCGTGCTTGGCTCTTCTTGCAACCTGCCTTCAGGCTAGTCTGAACATCTTTTTCAGAAATCTCTCAAATTCAAGCCAAATCCTTGTTTCAGCTTTGTGTACTGTGAGCTTACTTGAATTCATGCCACGTGTGCTAGTTCTGTTGTACATCAATTCTCTTGAATAGACATCTCTGCTTCTGAATGATCTTTCATTTGTTTGTTTGGTTACTATTTCTTCATAGTCCTAAAATCCGGGTAACAAACTCAATCGACCACCATAACCAACAAAAACACATTTGTTAGATTGGGCATCAAGTTTACTTCTTCAGCAGGAATCTGATGTGTCATTAGAGATACAACCAAAAATTCTTAAAATGTGAGAAGGTTTACCTCTTTTTTGTCCAAGCTTCTTCCGTATCTCACATCCTAAGGAACTGAGGTCCACGTTGATTAGGTAGGCTGCGGTATGATAGCTTCAGGCCATAGGAACTTGCGGCAGTCGGCATGTATCCTCATGTTTGCGCCACTCATTCAAAAGTTCCTGTTCATGCGCATCCGCTACGCCATTCTTGCCTGGCGGTGTCATGGGATACTGTTTTCTCCATCTTGATCCGCTGCTATCTTGGCGCAAAACTCTTTGAATCTACTGTCTTTGTAACTCTCCTCGCATTGTCTTGACCTTAACTTTCTTTATCTTCAAACCAGTTTTATTTTCCACCATGGCTTCCATTTTTCTGAAGGTATCAAAGACTTCTGATTTCTTGTCTCAAGAAAATAAACCCACACTCTCCTTGTAGAATCACAATGGAACGGTGACATAGTGACATCCTCGTGAGCCTGCAGAGATGAAACTGGAGGATGTCCCATACGGTCGGTATGAGATCAATTCTAACCTCTTCTGTCTGGGTGTCTTCCAATCTTTGCAAAATTGGACTTTCTTTGTTTTGCCAAAGATGCAATCCTCGCACTGGCCGACATCTACATTCTTCAGATGCCGGTATAGCTTCTTTGACAGAGTGTCTTCATCCCTTTCTCGCTTCATATGCAAGCCTTTGCGTGCCGTAGCGTTTGATTTGTTCATCTGCAATCTGTTACTGCAATGATATTCTCTAAGTTAGAGTAATTAGAGAGTACCAATTTTCTTTACCTCGACGCAATGAGTGATCCTTTGGTAATTCCATTCATGGACCTCGGAGAACGGTGTACAATAACACCTCTCCATTCAGCTGTCCAACAAGAGATCAAATTTCTTCTAAGGTGCAGGAATATGTCCTCACTTCCTTGCCAGTTTCCATGTGGGTCTGATTCTTGGCAATTTTAATCGGATAGTCCTCCCTTGCCAACACAGTTTCAGTTCTCATCAATCTGCGCTAGCGATGTACGCCTTTCCCGAAATCACCGCATGACTAGTTCTCCATGCTTCTCGGCATGGGTTGGAATGGAATGAGCCCCTGCAATCAAGAATCATGATTCAATCGGATCATCTAGTGAAACCGTTGCTGCCCATGAAGTTGTCAAATTTCTTGTACCACTGTCTGGGAGCTTGTTTTAATCCATACAAGCTTTTCTTCAAACGACATACTAGATTTTTCTTGCCTGCCTTTATGAAGCCTTCTGGTTGCTTCATATAAATCTCCTCCTCCAAATCACCATGAAGGAAAGCTGTTTTTACATCTAATTGCTCAAGATGTAAATTCTCAGCAACTACAATTTTCAACACCAGTCTGATTGTAGTCAGTTTCACGACCGGGGAGAAAATTTCATTATAGTCAATACCTTCCTTTTGCTGAAAGCCTTTGACAACCAATCTTGCCTTGTAGCGCTTGTTCCCATCATGCTCTTCTTTGATCCTGTAAATCCATTTGTTATGCAGAGCTTTCTTACCTGGTGGTAATTCAGCTAAGTCCCACGTCTGATTTGACATGAGTGAGTCCATCTCATCTTGCATAGCAGACTCCCACTTGACTGAATCCTCCACCTGCATTGCTTCGTCATAACACTCCGGTTCACCACTGTCAGTCAGCAACAGATAGTGCAAAGAAGGCGAATAACGCTGGGTTGGCTTAGGAATTCTGGAGGAGCGTCTTACTTCTGGCGTGCTTGGCTCTTCTTGAACTGCTTCAGGGCTAGTCTGAACATCTTTTTCAGAAATCTCCTCAAATTCAGCAAATTCCTTTGTTTCAGCTTTTGTACTGGAGCTACTTGATTCTGCAGTTGATCTGTTTTTGTACATCACATTCTCATTGAATATGACATCTCTGCTTCTGATGATCTTCCGATTTTCATAGTCCTAAAATCGGTAACCAAACTCATCACCACCATAACCAACAAAAACACATTTGTTAGATTTGGCATCAAGTTTACTTCTTTCAGCAGAATCTATGTGTACATAAGAGATACAACCAAAAATTCTTAAATGTGAAAGGTTTACCTCTTTTCTGCTCCAAGCTTCTTCCGGTATTCCACCATCCAAGGGAACTGAGGGTCCGCGGTTGATTAGATAGGCTGCGGTATTGATAGCTTCAGCCCATAGGAACTTGGGCAAGCCGGCATGTAACCTCATGCTTCTGGCACGTTCATTCAAAGTTCTGTTCATGCGCTCCGCTACGCCATTCTGCTGCGGTGTCATGGGAACTGTTTTCTCCATCTTGATCCCGCTGTTTGCGCAAAACTCTTTGAATCTACTGTCTTTGTACTCTCCTCCATTGTTTTTGACAGAAGTTTCTTCATCCCTTTCTCGCTCATATGGCCAAGCCTTTGGTGCCATAGGTTTGATTTTTCATCTGCATCTGTTACTGCAATGATATTCTCTAAGTTAGAGGTTATATAGAGAGTACCACTTTTCTTACCTCGAGCAATGACGAGTGATCCTTTGGTAATCTTCCATTCATGACCTGAGAAGGTTGTACAATAACCCTCTCCATCAAGCTGTCCCACAGAGATCAAATTTCTTCTAAGGCCAGGAATATGTCTCACTCCTTGCAGCTTCCATGTGGTCTGATTTGGCAATTTTAATCGGATATCTCCCTTGCCAACAATCTTCAAGGTTTCATCATCTGCTAGATGTACCTTTCCGAAATCACCGCTGACGTAGTTCTCCATGATTTCTCGGCATGGGGTGGAATGGAATGATGCCCCTGAATCAAGAATCCATGATTCAATCGGACTGTTGACGCTTAGAATCATAGCATCACCTCCTTCCTCGGTTACGTTGGCAGACTCCTGTGCGCCGGTGTTTTTCTTCGGTGCCCGGCACTCCCTCTTGAAATGACCCTTCTTGCCACAATTGTAGCACTTGAAGTCTTTCTTTCCTGATCTAGATTTGCTCCTTCTAGATTTTGATCTGCCGTGATTTGAACTTCTTTCTGAAGTTCTTCCCCTAGACTCCGTGTGTAAAGCTGAGGAGGTTGAAGCTTCACCCGATTCTCTCCGTCGGATCTCTTCACTAAGAACCAGATCACGAACATCATCGAACTTCAACTTGTTGCTTCCCGATGAGCTACTCACAGCCGTGACTGTAGCATTCCAGCTTTCTGGTAGAGAAGAAAGAAGTATCAATGCTCGTACTTCTTCATCAAATTCAATCCCAACTGAACTCAACTGGGTTGTGACTATGTTGAGTTCATTGAGATGTTGAGCTGTCGATGCGCCTTCCGTCATTCGCAAATTGAACAGCCGCCTCATCAAGTGAACTTTGTTTGAGGCAGAGGGCTTCTCGTACATGCTGCAGAGAGCCGCCATAAGACCCGCCGTGGTCTTTTCCTTTGCTATGTTGAAGGCAACGTTGCGGGATAGCGTCAATCGGATAACTCCAAGGGCTTGTCTGTCGAGGAGAGCCCACTCTTCATCCTTCATATCATCTGGCTTCTTTCCCGAGAGAGGTTGATACAGCTTCTTCTGGTACAGATAGTCTTCGATCTGCATCTTCCAAAAGCCGAAGTCCGCACCATCGAACTTCTCAATTTTTACCTTCCCTTCGTCTGCAGCCATCGCTCCCACTCGAATCTGACTTCCTCAGGATCGTTTCTGACAATTTCTGCGAACCACCTTGTATTAAGATACCTCTGCCGACAAGTCAGTACCGCCGGCAAAATTCCACTATTCACGAAATTTACTATTCACGTGAATAGTAACCTTGCAGAAATTTGACAGACGTCACAACCAGAGCTCTGATACCAGTTGTTGGGAAATTACCCTGATTCCCCTATTGCCAGATTTGAGAGAAAGCGAAAAATAAAATGCGCAAAATTGAGGGACACACAAGATTTACGTGGTTCGGCACAAAATTGCCTACGTCCACGGACTGCTGCAGATCTTATACTGAAAGGGGGAAAATTACAAGCACTCTGAATATTGCTCTGATATTCTCACTGAGTACTCTCTTTCTCTCTCTGTTTTTCACTCACTGAGTTTTCTCTGGCTCAGTACTCTCTCTTAGCCTCTCTACACATTTTCTCACTGCCTTGGATTTTCTTCTTAGCAGTTGAAAAGATGATCAAATAAGGGAAGAGGGGGACCCTATTTATAGGTGCAGAAGCTCCTCCATTCTTATTTTTTTCTTCCTCCCATTTTTTACTTTTGCTCCTGCCTTTCTCTTTTGTCAACAAAAATAGCTGAAGCTTTACTAACAATCTCCCACTTGAAGACTGATTTCAATCTGTCTTCACATCTCGATCTGTGCAGCAGCTCTTCCCTGATCTTGTTATTGTTGCAGGCCAACTGAAGCTGAACACAGCTTCAGTTTGTCAATAGTCACCGTCTTTGTCAGCATGTCTGCCGGATTTTGAGCTCCACTGATCTTTTCAAGCTTCAAAATTCCATCTTCCAGAAGTGACCGGATAAAATGATACCGCATCTGTATGTGCTTCGTTCTGGAATGAAAAGACGGATTCTTCGCTAGAATTAAAATAGGCTACCATGGAAAATTTTATGAAGGAAATAATCAAACTGGTGACCAATGATAAATAATAATAATAATAATAATGCAAGTATAAGAAAGAGAAAATGCAGAAACACTAACTGAGGATTGCAGTATTAGAACCAAACATACCATTGCAAGCCTCTCTTTATGAATATCATTTGTGGACTGCATGTCATCCCAAAAAAAAAAATAAGCTGAGGAAAACAATTAGTAGAAGTTCCTTTCAGAAGAAAGGAGCAGCCTTGCAACTGCTAAAGTCATAATCATTTATAAAAACAATATATATTGAAATATCCTACCGGCTTCTTGTAACACTTGATCTCATCTCCGCTAAAGCCAGGCAAGGACATATTCCAATGTCTCTCTGCAAAGTATAATAAAGGATTTTATGGTTGTAACTATGGAATCACATAAGAGGAAATGGGAGGGACCTGAAACCCAGCCACATCAGATAAGGTGCCATTATAAAATTCTTACCTACATGTACAAGTATGTCCTTCGCTTCTAATGTAGTTGATTTTCGATGCTTAGCCAAATGGCAAGCTGCTGTAACTATCTGTAATGCCAAGAAATATCATTAGGAAATATGCATCACTTAATGAACAAATAGAGAGTTTAGGAAATAGACATGTTAAGAAATATCTTTGATATGCAAACTACAGATATTAAAGAACGTCCACAAGTATATCAGAAACCATATTAAGGTTGAAATATTAACCATACAAAAACTTTTTTCCCTCGCAAAACTTCATGTGGATTCTCATAATCAATGTCAGGGTTCTGTCAAGAACAGATTTTTCTGCGAAACTAGGGAAAAGAGTTCCAAATAGGTAAAGTCATACGGCTATTGTCAATGCACAGGAAGACATAATTGATTATGAGGGCAAAGGAATAGTTTATTTCTTATTGTTAGTAACACAATAATCTTCAATGAGAACAGGAACTCACAGATTCAATGAAATCATCAGCAATCTCCAGGAGGTCATCTTCAATTTCAGGACGCAACTTTTCAGACCGATCAACCTGTTGAAAAAGAAACTACACTGAATGAATATTGTACCCTAGGAAACAGTTGGCAGAGCAATATACACATATACTTGGAATACACGTCTAAACAACTAAGAAAATATTGGATATTGTCACAACAACGTCTTCTCTTGCAAACATGAGCGATTAGACATACTATGGTTCAAAATTATAATGCAAAATGCCATTTGAAAAGGTGAAAACAATAGCACTTTGATGTGAATTGTAAGGCATAGAAAACGGTTCTGGCACCACCTTGCATGGATCGATGACATAGCGACGTAATATACATTTATAAAATCTTGAAATGAAATACGATTTTGTTCTTATGATATTTTTTTCCCAACATCATGGAGTGATTGTGAAAAATTGAGTAAGTGCATAAGGATTGCTTCGACAATAGATTTCTAATGTTCTTGGTCAGTGACACACTAGCAAAATTATCTGATAGTACTTTTCACTTTCCCCGAATCATACAAGTGTACAATATATATATACATACATACCCACATGCATATATGCACATATATACATACACAGCCACGTGCATCTATGCACATCACCATATCTATACATATTCAAGGATGGATGTGTGCATGGGTTTGCATGTGTAAATGTTAATTATCTATATATCCTTGTAAATATGACAAATGGTGTGGCCTTCAAGGCATTTGTAAATTACAACTACCCAAGTGCCTCTTGGAGCTGACCTTCAAATCACTTCTTAATAAATTGACACGTATTCATGTATGTAAAATGCTTACATAGTTATGTATAATTGTATACTCACACTGGGTTCATTATTAAAAGTCACAAAAGCAAGTTATAAGTTCAGAGCATATGGCAATAACAAAAGGAATTTGGTATCAAGGTTGAATAAAGGGGTTTTACTTTCCAAATTATAGAAGTAATTCACATTTAGGTAGTACCGCATAAGAGAAGCGAATTAATTCTTAAAGAGAAGATCCAACCTGTGTTACCAATTCTCGTATACGCTTCCTGCTTATAATATCATTACTGATCTCTTCAGTATCATTAGATCCCAACCCAGGTTGGGCCAAAGCTTGAACATTTGACTTTTGCACTGTAGGTACAAGAGCTTGTGAAGCTTGATGTTGTGAAGGAATATTTGGTTGATTCCTAAGTGGATGGTTGTCTTGTGACTGGTTTTGCAGTGAGCTTTGCTGTTGCATATGCTGTATTTGTTGTAGTTGGTGTTGCTTCTGCTGCTGTTGCTGCTGAGAAATTGATGTTTGTTGGTGATGCTGTGGAAGATGAGGCCTTTGCTGCATAGTTGGTGGTCTCATCTGGGGTCTGTAAGAAGAGGAAGGTAAAGAAGCTACATTTGATTGTTTTGCTTGGGATGACATCCACTGCTGATGAAGAGGTTGGGAACTTTGTGATGCAAGTGATTGGGTAACGGGAGAAGTAATGGAAGGACCTCTTGGGCCAAGATGACTCGGGAATTTCTGCAGCAAAAAGAAACAAGATGGGAATTTTGTGAGGGAAGATTGATCTAAAGAGGTGATCGAATCTCATCTCAGCAAACGAGTATTCGGAAGTCATAGTAGGAGTTTAGTATTTATCACTTTGTTCATAATGATCGGGGTTATCCATAAGAATATTACATTTAACATTCTTCCGGGAACTTCCCGTTACATGAATTATCCACCCCCAGCTTTCTTTGCAAAACTGAGTGTAACGAGGAGTTCGTTATCCTCAGTCGCATGTTCGGGTTATCCTTAAGAATATAAGATTCTCCAGGAACTTCCCGTTATATAAATCATCCACCCCCAGTTTCCTTTGCGAAACCGAGTTTAACATTGCACTCAGTTGGATAATCGAGAAGCAGTTTATACTCATATGCTCTTTGGAGTGTGGGGAAACAGTTTATACTCGTGCACCCACTGGAGTTAGATGGTCGTCTTTACTCGACTTCTTTCGTCGTTATGACGCCGGAGTCAATTAGGGCTTGGATCTTGTTTTTGAGTCCAAAGCAAATCTCGGTGGGATGAAGAACCCTTCTGTGGTACGCACAATAGTTTGGATCCGTAATCCTCTTAGCTCCATCCTGATCTTTAATAGGTGGTAGCTCGATTTTGTCATTAGCGAGGAGGTATTCCAATATGGCTGGAGCTTCATCATCTTCGAAAGAATACTCCTTTTGGAACCTCGGATCGAGAGTTGCGTTCACAGGAATTATGGATTTCGTCGGTTGACCTCTCTCAACTTTCTTTCTTTTAAGAAAGTGTTCAGCTTGTTCGCCACGTAATTTCAACTCTTTCCAAGTTTTGGATGATACGACCCCCAGGGCTTCCAGGACATCGATGGAGAGATTATTGTGGCATGTTTGCAGGATAAACTCCTCTGTAACAGGATCTCTGCAATTCATTGCTTTGTCACGGAAGCGCTTGACAAAATTATCAATAGACTCTCCGTCTTTTTGCTTCTCATCCAAAAGGGTTCCGATTGACACTTCGGTGTCATCATCGAAGAAGTTGCTGAGGAACAAACTTTCCATGTCATCCCAGCAATTGACGCTCTCTGGCTTGAACCGTCGGTACCAATCGAAGGCGGGCCCGCGAAGGGGGCCAACGAATGACCAGACCATTAAAGCCTCGTTTCCAGAGATCATGCCCAAATGAGACTTGAAATAAATCAAGTGCTGAATAGACGAGTTCTTCCCGTCAAATGGTGTGAAGTTAATCATGTTGAATTTTGCCGGGTACGGTATTGAATTCCATTCTCTTGGATAGGGACATGGAATACCCGTCCTCTTCACTTCTTGAGCCGTCATCAAAGCGTTGACTTTGTTTTCAAGCTCTTTCATTTTCCCGTCATCGTCTATGTCTTCATTCGAATAACGTTGAGGAGAATGAGTTAGACCACCCCCTGTAAGAGGTGCCATTGATCCACTCCCAATATCGTTATTGGGAGAATGTGTTAAACCACCCCCAGCGTTATTGCTATTAGGAGGTGTATCAGCCATAATGATTTCATCCACTTCTGGATCATCTACAACATTCCGAGTGTGGTGGCTGGATTCAAGTCGCTGATTGGACTCAGGAGGTTGAGGCTGTTGAGTTAACAGTTCTCTCATTTGTTGGATAGCCAACTTCATTTCTGTCTTCACTTCAGCTCTAATTTCTTCACGTTGTTTGGCTAGAGCTTCTTGAAGTATTTGAGCAAATTGATCAGAGGTGATCGTGAGTACTTCTCTGGTTTGTCCCGTGCTAGACATTGTATCATCAGAAGCGATTGCAGAATAAGTGTCCGAGAATTCATCCTCCGAGGACATTCCTTCTTGCATTCTTTTGTAATCTCTGCGTCTGATGGCTCCTAATTGGAGTCGAGACATCCTTTGAGCAATTCTTGGATTGACTCTTCCTCTCGGGGAAAAGTCAGGATTTGAGTCACTTGAATGCCGTTTAGACTTTCTTTTATCAGCCACGTTGATGGTGACTTCAGGGAATTCATCATCTTGGGTAGCTGATTTTCTTTTGCGGAACTGTCTCGGTCTCGGCTTAGGCTTCGACAATATAGAGACTCTTCGTGGGAAGGCTTCTCGTTTGAAACAGTCACATTCTGATAAGGCTGCTTTAACGAGTCGCGCACAGGAACAACGAGAGTTTATCTCTCGAATAACTCTCTTTCGGAAATTATTCACAACCCTAACTTGATAATACGATTCATCGGTATGATTGCCAAAAAATCGTATCGTCTGTTGGCATGACCCCTCAGGTATGACGATATCATTTGGTGAATGTGTCTTCTTCTGGGGGCGTAAGACCTTGTTGGCATTCTCAGGACAATTTATTTTTGTTTTTGAGCGATCTAAGGTTATGTCAAGAGTCACACGTTTAGAACCACCCCTTTGCGGATGCGGTGTCTTAACGGGCTCCTGGGATTCGTTCACTGGACCCAAGCGTTCTTTAACTGGAGCTTGATCGTCAGATAAGGGACTGAGGCGATCCGCCATCGTGATCTTGGATATTGACAGGTCAGGACTGAACCGTGGTTTCCCTGGTGATGGAAAATTTATGATTGTAGTAGACGGATCAGGAATGGACGTTGATGGGGCTGAAGGAAAACTCTTTGGAGCTTTTCTTTGACCGTGGCAGGGAAGATCGTCGCGGTCACAAGACGTGCCGCGGCAGTGGAAACTGCCGCGGTTGAAGGATTTGCCGCGACAGTGAAGACTGCCGCGGTCACAGGTTGGATTATGCAGACCCGATTTTAGTACGAGTTTGGATTTGTAGATCCATACTCTGTGATTCTTTGGTGATTCCTTAGACAATGTTTCCTTCTTCTCTTCTTGTCTTTGTTGTAAAAGAGCACGGGCATGAACAGCGTTTGCACGACGTTTTTGTATACGTTCTTTGAGGGTTGAGCGAGCCCTTTTGACGAGTGTCCATTCCTCCGTCGTGAATTGTGCAGAAACATGAGTAGTTTGTCGTTGCGTTGAACAAACCACTTGTTGTTTCCTCGACTCTAAGTCCGCATAATAACGAACTCCGTCGGTTTGTTCAAATGCCTTAACTATTTGGCGAGCACGGCGCTGACGCTGTCTCTGACGAGCCCTCTTCGTCAGTACCGGTGGGCTTTGATTCGATGACTCTTTAACTAGATAAGAGTCATTGTGAGCAGAGGTGTTGCGAGTAAAATCCTTAGCAACAATCCGGAGAGAGTCTTCATTTTGTGCCTTCTTTGGCATGTAGGTCTTCCTCAATTCTGAGATCCTCTTGTACTTGCGAGACAATGAAGATCTTGAAGAGGATGATGAGAGATATTCCTCAAACTTGGTTTGGTCGAATTCGTATTCGACCATGGATTCAACCGGGATCTTGATCGGCTGCGACACGACGGTCTCGGCAGCGAGACCGTTGGCTCCCACTGTGGTCGCCAGCTTGTTTGCGTCAAAAGTTGGTTTTGTCATGGAATTCATTATATCTTCAGTCGATTACAATAAATTCAAAAAAAGAGATGGTCTTTTTATAAGACCTCTTTTACACAACAAAATTAAAAAATTACAACTCTTGAGAAACAAACGCAGGATCATTGTTTGGATCGCTGCTTGCGTGGGATCTTTGCCTGTGCCGAGAGCGCTTTGACTCGTGGACCACCAAATCACAGATTCTGATTGAACCGTGAGGGGTTTAATGATTCTTCCTTCGTTTATCGAAGTAAGAATTTGAAGCGAATATCTTATCGATGTAAGATGTTCACTCTTCCAAAGATCAAGTCTGAGCTTAGATCTCTAGGACTCGCTAGAAGCTTCTTGAGGATGTTTGTGAAGAAGGAAGACTCTCTCTCTTGCTCTAATTCACCAAAACTCAAGGCTCTCTGCTCTAATCTCTCTGGAAAATGCTCAGCCCCTGTCCATGATGACCATAGGGGGGTATTTATAGCCTCCTTAGACGATAACTGAAGAAATAGCTGGTCAATAACTGTCTCTTTAGGCGCGGCAGCTGATGCTGTCGCGGCTAAAGGGCGCGACAGTCGACACTGTCGCGGCCAAAGAGCGCGGCAGTCGACACTGCCGCGGCTAAAGGGGCAGTTACACCCACGTTCATGATGTGTATATTGTTCCTCCATGTTGTTTCGAGTGGTACTTGTATGTCTGTAAGCATTTTTTTAACGCCTACACAGATAGTCTTCGATCTGCATCTTCCAAAAGCCGAAGTCCGCACCATCGAACTTCTCAATTTTCACCTTCCCTTCGTCTGCAGCCATCGCTCCCACTCGAATCTGACTGTTTCTGACAATTTCTGCGAACCACCTTGTATTAAGATACCTCTGCCGACAAGTCAGTACCCCCGGCAAAATTCCACTATTCACGAAATTTACTATTCACGTGAATAGTAACATTGTAGAAATTTGACAGACGTCACAACCTGTCTCTGATACCAGTTGTTGGGAGAATACTCAGATTCCCCTATTGCCAGATTTGAGAGAAAGCGAAAAATAAAATGCGCAAAATTGGGGGACACGCAAGATTTACGTGGTTCGGCACAAAATTGCCTACGTCCACGGGCTGCTGCAGATCTTTCACTAATGGAAGAAATATTACAAGCACTCTGAAAATTGCTCTCAATTTTCTCTCTTGAATTTTTCACTCACAGAGTTCTCTCACCCTCTTAGCCTCTCTATATTTAGCCTCTCTATATTTACTCACTGCCTTGGATTTTCTTTTCAGTTGAAGGATGATTTGTATCTGAGCATTGGGGTGCTTTATATAGAGAACATCACCTCTGTCTTTGATTGGCTTGGTAAGCTTTTTCAACAAAAGCTTTCTTCTTTTTCAACAAAAGAAGCACCGCCACCATTTTTTCTTCCAGCCATTTGACTATGGCATACTCCTTTCCCAAAAAAAAAACGTGGCTACTGAAAGTCCTCCCTTTTTAATCATCAAAAGTCCTCCTTCCCTTTTTGACTAACATCCTGCGCTTCCAAAACCTGTTCTTTA